CGTCTAATTATCTTTATCAATAAAATCCCAGAAAATATTGAGACATTATTTTTTGTCAATATCGCACACCCCTAGTACTGACACAAAATTACTTTGCAATGGTCACTTTGTCACGCCCAGAGTAGACTGCCTCAAACTGTTGGTTTATTTCTGTCTCTCTCTCTTTTTTTTTGGCTAGTAGAAATTATGAATGGCCGGTAACTTAAAAATTTAGTAGCCAAATTGGCTGGTGGGTGAAAAAGTTAAATTTCAATCCCTGGATATACAGTTTTGGGTGTTTCATTTTTACGTTTATAAAACCTTCAAGTGCAGTTATTGTCATGCTACGTGCAAACAGATGACTTTGGATACAAATACACTAGCAACAGTCCTCCTCTGCCCTTTCATTCGGCAACATTTCATTCATACCCCCATGACAAACTCGGAGGTACTGGATGAGAGTGTGAAGTAAGGACTGGTGGGAGAAAGTTGTTTGAATTTTTTGTTTGTCATCAAACGGTTGACCACTGCCGTGTGTTCATCCTGTCGCAAAATGTGGCAAAAAGTCCTACACAACGTTAATAGTGTGATTAAGGTGTACCAAAAAAAAAAAATTGGATACTCCACATCTTGATTCGATTTGGGTTTACTTCGAGTATGATTTTAGCCAGACTAGTAAACACTAATGAATTAAGACATATGGAGTATTCCACGAATTAAGACGTGGAATATTCCTATTTTAGTCTAGGGCTGCCACTAACGACAATTTTTATTTGATTAATCTACCGACTAATTTATCGATTAATCTAAACAATTAATTTCCCCCACAAAAAAAAATCTACAATTTTACTTTATTTTATTAAACCAAATGAAATCAAAATGTCTATGAAATCCTTTTTTTAAAACAAAAGTGCAACAGAGTGCAAGCAGCAAGTGTCCATCTCATAGTCCAAATCACTGAAATCAAAGTTCAGTATTATAGTGTAAGAATGACAACAAATCCACGTGTTCTAGTCTACTAATAATACAATAATCAAAAAACTTTTTAAAGGAGTATTTACTAGAAATGTTATTTACCAGAATTTATTTAAGAGAAAAATATAATTGTGCAGTATTTCTGAAAAATAGATTTTTTTTTATTTTTTTTTTTATAAAATCAATTAATTGGAGATGCTTTTTATTATTAAAATTTAATGGAACCATTCAAATGGAATCCAGAAAATAATGCAAAACAGAATTTGGTAAAGATAAAACTGTAAAACTCGATTAATTAGACAGGCTTTTGAGTAATACAATTTAATTTAACCATTAAAACAGAGTATAGACAAATTTGGAAATAAAACTGGATTTCATAGTGCCCTATAATTATAATAA